CCCTAAAGTTGTGAAAATATCGAATGTGTGGGGAGGGGGGGTAACGTTGTATGTGGGCTATACGATATTGTGGACCTATGTTGACATTTCTATTCCATTTCTTAGAAGGAACTTCTTTTATGGATTTTTAGACGATTCCATTATGAAATGTTGCTAAACTCATCAAAATACCGAATATTGGTAGGTACCTGCATAGGCAATTTTCTGGCATAGAATGTAGGTTCCATTACGATCTAAACACGAAATTTGAAGCAACTTCTGTGAATAATCTTCTAAAATCTTTAAAATACCGAATGTTGGTAGGCACGGTCTTATGTAGGCTATATGAAGACGAGGACCTGCATACACTATTTTTGTCATAGGTTGCAGTATTACGAATTCTAAATACAAAAATTGAAATAACTCCGATGAATAATGTCCCTAAAATCGTCAAAATATCGGGGGTACCGTTGTATGTGGGTCATACTATATCGTGGACCTTTATAGACATTTCTCTTCCAGGGGGTAAAGTGCCTACAAAGAACTTCTAGTATGGATTTTTAGTCCATTCCATTGTAAAATGTAGCTAATCCCATCAAAATACCGAATATAGGGAGGTACCGTTATATGGGGGATGTACGATATCGTAGACCTATATCAACAATACTCATCCAAGGGGTAAATACTCAGAAGGAATTCCTTTTAGAAATTTTCAGAAATATCATTGAAAACTCAAATATACTAGAAATGGGAAGTTTATTACCCTTAAATGGGGGGCCATACAATATCGTGGGCCGATATAGCCCATCTTCGAACTTGACCTGCCTGTAGACAAAAGACTGATATTCATTCATTTAGACTTTAGCGTGATTACAACAGACGGACAGAGCTAAATCGTCTTAGAATTTTACGCTGATCAAGAATATGTGTCTAAAAATTATTTCCATACCATGTATGGTGGAGGGCATAAGAAGACTTCTTATTATCAGTGTAACTATAAAAATCTATGGGATCTTAGTTTACAGAAAATTTCTAATATATAAAGCTATATACATTCATTATTTTTATGTCCATATAAAAAATACTAATAATTAACATAAAAAATATTAAAACATTCACCAAATATTCTGTTAATACCGTTTAGCCTTGAGATTATCCGCTAGCACAGCAATTTGTATACTTCATAAAGATTTTTCATTGGCAGTCGACAGAAGGCGATTCTTTTTTTCAATGAATAACAAAAATAAATTCATAGTCCACAATTTATTTACCATAAATTTTATGTTTCAATTGAGATGCTTAGCAAATTTTTTGTTAAGCCTTAAAAGTCAAAGATGATGGACGAACACGTAAATAACATTTTTCATTGTAATTAAGAAAAAAAAAAAAAACATTCGGAAGTCTCTCTCAGATTCCAATTAGCTAAACACATATACACACATAGGCAAGGCATGGAAATGACTAAGTTTTTCCCATATTTCAACATCTCACACTTTGCCACGTCTCGGTGTAAGAAAAGAAAACTGAAGGTCAGTCTGCTTTTTTTAAGGGCCATTAAAGAGATTTTGTGTGGATGGAAATTTCAAAAGTTTTTCAGCAAAGTTGTTGTGTTTGCGCGTGTTTTTTTTTTTTGTCTGTGATTTTGTTTAGAATTTGTCATGATGCGTCAAAAACTTTTGATTAATGTTTCAAAAAATTACAAAAAAATTAGAAAAAAAAATAAAATGCTGAAGAGAATTAAGGAAAATATTTAAAATACAAATTTTAGTTTATTTATTTTTAATGATGTCATTGAAAGCACATGTTTTTTGAGAAGAAAAATAGGCAAATGTAAGTCAAGTTGGACGAATATAATTTTTTATGAAGTCTCAATATATAATCTGGGAATAGCTTAATGCTGCTATTTTTATGCCCTCAGGCTTATGGCCACATTTAATACGGCTAAAATGTGACTCATCGAAATAAGGGTTTTAGACCCTAAGTCTCTTTGGACCAAATCCGTTACAGGACATTTGGAATCGATCTACGGTTGTCCGTACGTCCGTCTGTATGTCTGTCTGGCTGGCTGGTGCGCACGATAAATCTCGAAGGGAGTATCCGATTCGGTCCAAACTTGGTACATCGTAATATTATTGTCAAATATAGATCGATTTCGGAGATGAGTAATATCGGTCTACTCCTTCTGGTACCTCCCATACAAAAGGTCAACATTTTTGAAATTATCATATAGAAAAAGAGGAAGTTTGTGGGAATCTAGCAAATCCTAATATTTTTATCAGCGCTAGGTCAGGTACAAAAATGGACAATATCGATCCACTCCAACAAGTACCTCCCACACAAAGGGTCAACATTTTAGATAATTATAACTCTTGTAAAATGTGAAATGAGAATCCGATTGTCTTTAAATTTCGCACATCTCAATATTTCTACCAATACAAAATCTGGTATAAAGAACGAATTGGACGGACCACTCCTTCTGGTACCTCCCCCTCAATGGGTCAAAATTTTGAATAACCATGAAGCTCATAAAACGAGAAATGAGTATCCGATTGCTTTCAAACTCGGCTCATCCCAATATTTCTACCAACACCAGATATAGTGTTAAGATGAAATATATCGGACCACGCCTTCTGGTATCATCCCCCAACGGGTCAAAATTTTGAATAACCTTGAACCTCATAAAACACGAAATGAGCATCCGATTGCTTTCAAACTCGGCACATCCCTTCTGCCAACACAAGATCTAGTGTGAAAATGGAATATATCGGACCACGCCATCTGGTACCTCCACACATCGGATCAGATTTTTATACCCTACACCACAAGGTGGTCAGGGTATTATGTCTTTGTGCATTTGTTTGTAACAGGCAGAAGGAAACGATATAGACCCATAGTTCCTTTTGATGATCTGCATAGAATCACATTCTGAGTCGATTTATGCATGTCCGTCCGTCTGTCCATGTATTTTTGTAAACAAAGTACAGGTCGCATTTATTGCCCGATCCAGATGAAATTTTGCAAAGATCATTTGTTTGGCCCAAGGACGAACCCTATTGAAATTGGAAATAATCGGTCAAAATTTAGATATAGCTCCCATATATATCTTCGTCCGATTTGCCTTTTATTGCACACCAAACGTGTAATATCAGCCCGAATTGTATGGAATTTTACATATACACCCAAATTAGGTCTGAAAATATGTGTGCCAAATTTGATGGAAATCGGTTCAGATATAGCTATAGCTCCCATATATAATGTTCATCCGATTTGTTATTTTTGTCCACCGCCGTCGTAATGTGCACTCTGCAACAACAATTTTTGGGGAAATATATCAAATGCAGCTCAGAAATATATTTGCTAAATTTTATCGAGGTCGGTTCAGATTTGGATATAGCTCCCATATATAACTTCGTCCGATTTACCTTTTATTGTGCACCAAACGTCTAATATTTGTCCAAATGGGATGGAATTTGGCACTTACGACCGAATTAAGTCTAGAAGCTAGTATGCCATATTTGATGGAAATCGGTTCAGATATAGCTATAGCTCCCATATATATTGTTCATCCGATTTGTTATTTTTGTCCACCGCCGCCGTAATATGCACTCCGTAACAACGATATTCAGGGAAATATATCAAATACAGCTCAGAAATATCTTTGCCTAATTTTATGGAGATCGGTTCAGATTTGGATATAGCTCCCATATATATCTTTATCCAAATGGGCAATACAATTCCGAATTTAAAAGATACAAATGTTTCGGATATTTAGTCCTTCGAACTTTAAGTTATAATTATAATGATAGCGTGTATGATTGTATTCTCCCATAAAAACTTTTAATTGTTATGTGTATCTCTACTAAATTAGCAAAGTGGTGTAGGGTATCATAAAGTCGGTCCCACCCGACTTTAGGACTTTCTTTACTGGTTGAATAATTATAACTGTCATAAATTGCGAAACAAGCATCCCATTCTTTTCAAATTTCACACATCCCGATATTTCTAATTAACATAAGATCTGGAGTGGATAGCACATTTCGGAACATTTCTTCTGGTACCTCCACCACAAAGGGGTTAACAATCAAATAACAAAAAGTCATCACATATCTCAATATTTTCTCCAAAGCTCGATCTGGTGTAAAGATCAAAGTTATCGCCCACATCTTCTGGTACCTTCTCCACAAAGGGTCATAATTTTTAATATTAATATATCGCATAACGATTCTTTTTTTAAGCTTGGTATATCTAAATATTTCCCTCAACCGCAGATTGGCCCATCCCTTCTCGTACCTCTCTAATGTTGCACCAAATGACCAATATAAGTCTAAATGGCCTGAATTTTGGTACACCCAACCGAATTCAGTCTAGAAGCAAGTACTTCAAATCTGGTGAAAATTGGTTCAGATATAGCTTAGCTCACATATATATGTTTCATCCGATTTGGTTTTTAAGTCCCTCATATTCGTAATATATAGTCGAAAACAATGATGTACCAGATATCTTATAGAGCTCGGAAATACCTTTGCCATTTTTTTGGTATATAGCTCCCATATGTATCCTTTATCCGATGTCAGTTTTTTTGTGCAACAATGGCTGAAGGAGGTATGATCTACTTCAAATAAATTCTTATAGAGCTCCGAAATTACTTTGCCAAATTTTATCAAGAACGGCAAAGATTTCAAGATTTATAGCTCCCATATGTATCCTCAATCCGATTTCAGGTTTTTGTGCAAATATGGCTAAAGGTGGTATGATCTACATCAAATAAATTCTTTTGTTACGGGAGCTGCATAGTGGTATAGGATATCATTTAGTCGGGTACTCGCCCGACTTTTGACTTTTCCGTACTTGTTAAAATTGGGACATTTTTGGACTTCTTTCTTATGTTTCCAAAATTTTCTAATAAAAATATAAATAAATAAAAAAATTCTGGAATCGAAGGCTTTATTAGAAGTTTATCATTCTTAAACTTGGCCATTAAAAACTAATGATTTTCTATCATTATTTTTTTTTAATTGCAGGACAATTTAACTAATGAAGACTTAGATAGCGAAGATATTGATGATTCGATTGATGACAGTACATCAGATGACAATTTGGATGATCATAATGCTGTTGATGGCGCCACTGAAGATGATTTAAATGATTTAGCTTCCGATTTGGAAAGTGACATAAGACATAATTCACTGTCATATAACGAAGATTTGCAACAGCAGCTGCAGCAGCAACAACTACATTCAGACAATTGCAACAGCGACATTAGCCATCAACATCATCGAATACATCAGCGGTGTTCCAGCAACACCAGTGACATCGACATCGACGAGGAAAAGCCAACATTAAACATTGTGTCGTCTCATCATCATCCGTCGCAGCAGCAGTTACAGCGTAACCATCACCAGGTACATCTTCTTCAAAAGGCTTCACGTGATTGTATTCAAACTAAGGTAAGATTTCGTAACCGAACCTGAATGATGTTGCATTCGTGTTACATTTTGTTATAACCCATATTGTACAGCAGCAATGTTGTTGTGAGACACAAAAAATAGCAAACAGATCCTCCGAAATGTAATTTATTTATGTCTTGTTTTTTTCCTTTTCCTATTACCAAACTTCAACTCCTCTCTAACTCCCACTCACTCTCTCGCTCTTCCTAACCTTAATCTATAACCAGCATAATTCCTATAAATATATTTGCAATCGTATGTATATTGTCCGTCCGTCCGTTTGTATGTTTGTTTGGCTGGCTGGCTGTCTGTCTCCTTTGGCAGTTACATTGATCATAGACAATACTAAATGCTGGCTGGCTATGAAATCTCCTCGTGAAAATCAGTAAGTAAGCCCAGCAAGATGAGATGTGCCAACCAGTCAGCCAGCCAGCCAACCAGCAGAAAGAAGTCCCACAAATAATGGCAATGCATTAAAGCTCTTTGAGATTGTCATTTATTTGGTGGTTGTGCATTTTTGCATTTTGCATTGGTCTGAAAAACAAATTGTGTCATGCCTGGCATTATATTTGCCTGCATGCCGACCTGGCTGCCTGCCTGCCAGCCAGTGTGCTGAAAATCTATTTAAGTTTTATCTGCCTGCCTCCAATAAACCAAAAAAAAACACATGAAATGCATGCAAAAGAAGTATTGTCAACTTTTTTCTATGATTTGTACTTATTTGGATTGTAAGCCATTTTAACAAGAAATGATGTAATGTTGTTGTATTTGTATTATTTATTTGTATTTTTTGTACTAAAAAACTAACCTAACCAAAAAAATAGGAAATTTAAATTTTAGAAGGGTTTTGTTGTTTGCCAAACAAAACAAAAAACAACAAAAAGTTGGCAACACTTGTTTGCCTTTCGGCGTTTAGGATAATTTTTTTTCCTGGCTAACGGTTTATCGATTGTTCCACATGTTTTACCCCATGCTGCCCGCACACAAAAACGTGGCATATGTTTTGTATGTCGGTCGATCGAGGAATTCGTATTTACAAATTGTCACGCGAATTGGAAACAGCAATACATATCTATAAGCGGCGGAAAATGTCCCATGTATATTGTATATTGGAGCGTGAGCATGAAACAGAGTTGCCATAAATAATTTAAAGGAGATCGTTAATATAGATTAATTGAAAAAAAAAAATAAAAGAATGTAACTATTTGAAGTTATGGAAAAAAAGGAAAATTGAAGTAAATTGTTTGCTTGAGAACCGATTACACATTATGTTAGGGACATATGTCAAGTGTTTTTTTCTTCATATTTTATATTTTAGAATTTTGTAGCATGCTTTAAGGAGCTCCCAAAAAAAAATGCGAAACTTGAAAGTATAGTAAAGGTATAACAATTATAGTAAAGCAAGACACTGGAGAAAATTATAGTTTTAAGTACTTATTTCCTTCAAGACCTCTAAATAATCCATTTAAATTTTTAAAACAAAAGACTCCATAAATTTTAATCGAATATAAACGATATATTTCCATAAATAAATATGTATTTTATTATACACTCAGCCATATGGCTAGAGAAGGGTATATATCATTTGATACGGTCAAAACGTGCCTCATCGAAATAACGGTTTTAGATCTTTGATCTCTTTGGACCAAATCCGTTTCAGGACATTTGGAAACGATCTAGCGATGCCCATCCGCCCGTCTGTCAGGCTGGTGCGCACGATAACTCTCGAAGGGAGTATTCAATTTGATCTTAACTTGGTACATCATTATATTACTATCAAACTTATAGATGGTACCTTCTGGTACCTTTGAGAGATGGTACCGTCTGGTAGCTTTCCCATAAAAGGTCGAAATTTTCAAAAAAAAAAATAAATATTTTACTGCATAGAAAGAGAAAAGATAATCCGATTTTGCTCCAACTTTGTGAATCCTAATACCGGCATCAGTGCTAGGTCAGGTGCGAAAATGGACAAATCGGTCTACTTCATCATGTACCTCCCCCCCAAATGATCAAAATTTTGAATAATCATAAGTCTTATAAAATCTGATGTAAGAGTCCGATTATCTACAAATTATTATATAGATGGTAGAAATCGGACCATTCCTTCTGGTACCTCCCCCACAAAGGGTCAAAGCTTTGAAATACCAATAAAATCATAAAATCCGAAATAGACACCTGGTTCTCTTTAAATTACACACATAACAATATTTTTGTTAACCCAAGGTCTGGCGTGAAGATGGAATATATCGGTCCACTCCTTCTGCTACCTCCCCCACAAAGCGTCAAATTTTTGAATATTCATGAAGCTCATAAAATGCCTAAATAATACACGATTCCATTCATATTTGGCACATCTCAATATTACTATCAACTCTATATCAGACCATTGCTTCTGGTACCTCCCCACAAAGGGTTAAAGTTTTCAATAAGCAAAACAATCATAAAATGCGAAATAAGCATCCGGTTCTCTTCATTTTTCACACATCCCATTATTTCTACTAACACAAGATCTTCTGTGAATGTGGGGTATGTCGGTTCACTTCTTCTGGCACCAACATATTGGATATCCATGAATATTATAAAACGCGAAATTCCAATTAAACTTGGTACATCTCAAAATTTCCATTAACATAATATCTGTTATACAGGTGGTAGAGATCGAATTATTCTTCTGGTATCTCCCACACAAAGAGTTCAAGATTTTGAAAACCAAAACGCTTAAAGAGAGCGAAATAAGCATCCAACTCCCTTCAGATTTCACACATCCAAACATTTTTGGTAACACAAGATTTGTTATGAAGATGATATATATCTGAATAAATATTTATTTAATAAAAATATTTCTCTCAACCAGAAATCTGAGATGAATACGGAATTTATCGCAATTTATGATTTCGCACAAAAATGGATATAAATGTGCGAGCTCCTTAAGTATGCTATAAAAATGCTGCAGTTAATTGTGCAAAAAGTCACTTTACATGTGACTCTAACATCATGTGTAATCTAGCCTTTACAAATTGGTGACAAGTTGGAACCGTAGATTCTGTTGACCAGTTCCATTTCTACTTAACTCGAGATATACATTTAGTATAATATTATGTATATATATTACTTTAAATGCCCTTTACTGAGTATGGTTCACAGATGGGAAAAGTAAAGTTCATGACTAAGTGCATACTTTTAGGCTCATATGAAAAAATAACGACTCGACCAAAAACCTGCAATAGAAGAATCGAAATTCGATTTTGGCATTAATTAATACTGCATTTGTACTTGTACCCAATTTTTAGAGATTTTAAAACCTATAGATTTGGCTATAAATCTGAAATGTCACATGGTGTCACTTCTAAACATACCTATCATACATTGGTCTGATTTCGACATTTCCATATAAGCCAAAAAGTATGCAACTATTTTTGAAGCACCGATCTACAATATATCCTTTACAAAGCAACTCTGTTTCATTTGCTCCTTCGTAGCGTTTTAGGAAAATCCAATACCATTTTAGATTTCCACATCCTCCTTTCAAATCCTTTTCGCCACACATATTCGATATATACAAATATATATATTTTTATAACATTATATTATTTGCAAAACACATCAAATTATATTTCCTTCCCCCATCAATGTCTGTCTAGCTTGACTTTGAAGACGAAGGTGACGACGAAGGAGAGGAAGACTACAACGATGATGATGAAGAATATCTTGATACAGATATAGACGAAATCGATTTTCCGCATCAAACGCAACAGCATCCGCGTAAACAACGCGGCTATACAAAACTTCTAGTCACCTTTGACCGCTCCACAGGTGGACGATCTTCTGCGGCTGGCAATCGTTACAAAACTAATCTAAGTTTAACCGATTTCGAAGCAGATTCAGAAAGTTCCGATTTAGAGACAATCCAGCAACGTATACGTAATCAGCGTGCCACCACGGCTAATGTTGGATGTGGTGGCAGTGGCAAGGGATTGTTAACAACGACCTATAAATACCTCATTGCAAACGGTAGTTTTTCACAAAACCAAGCAAAACGATACGCTCTTAGCAATACAATTACAAAGAGTGCAACAGCAAAAACATCGACTTTGGCTTGTGGTACTGGTACTGGTACCGATACAGATGCAAACGGCGAAGCGGTGCTGAAGCCGGCAATTGAAAATAACACCACTGAACTAGAAAGTTGTGAAATACATGCCATGCAAACTAAGGCAACCGATTTATTGGTGAACGCAACAACAATGGTGGCTAACGATCGTTTGCATTTGGCGCATCAGCAGCAGCAGCTGAAAGTTTTGCATCAGCAACAGCTACAGCTCCACAATCACCAGAGATTAACCCTTATGGCAATTACACAAAATGGCATGACAACAGGTTCAGCAGCAACCAACTCCTCCTCCACCTCGTCTGGTTCATCGTCGTCGTCCTCATCCTCAGGTGCTTTGTCCGGTTGTTCGATAAACGGTAGCAACAGTAATTCAAGTTCTACCAACGGCATTGTCGTCGACACCGCCATGCAACACAAGTTATCGACATCATCGGCGGCCAGCGACAACAACATCGGCAATCAACAACACCATCAGCAGAACAATCTTGCCAATGGCAGCTGTGGCGGCGGTGGTATTGGCATCGCTGGTATTGGCGGAACTTCTTCGGGTCTAACCATGAAGCAGAAAAACATTGCCATTATCTCGCCCAATAATAGTCACAATGGCACAAAGGCATCCCACCACCATCATCATCATCAACACCATAAGCTGAACAACAAATCGCCGACAGTGTTGCGCAAACACTACGAACACCATCATGCCGCTGATATTTCAAAATTCAATCGCTCAAATCGCAAATCGAAAAATTGTGCCATTTTCTATTTTAAGCATTTGGACACTGACAACGAGACCAACTACAGCAACAGTAATTGCGGTGATGATGTCCATGATGTTGTTGTTGGTGGTGGCGGCGGTGGTGGTGTCGTTAGAGAAGATGGCGATATGGCGAACCATGATGAAGATGATAATGGCAACATTGTTGTTGGTGGTGGACGATGTCGTCGTGGTGGAGCAGCACTCTCATCATCGGCCGCCTCCTCACACGCAAGTGATGTAAGTAGTGGTTGTTGTAGCAGAAGAAGAAAAGATGGAAAGAGAAGAGTAGTACTGTGAGAAACTATTGCAAACAAATCACATCCGCGATCATCTCACAAATGTAACGGCAAAATATATTGTTTCCTACTTTAAGGTGATGGTTATGTGGTGGTGATATTAGGTGTGTACGATAAGTCAATAATTTATATAAATTAATACAAATTAATAGAAAATGTTGTTCTCTAACTCACAAGCGAGCAAAGAGAGCAATTTTATTAATTAGTAAATCCAATAACTGGATTTTCTAAAAAAATCTCAGTATCATCAGCTGTTGCCGATACACAATTGTTTATATACATATCAAACTGTTTATATACATAAAAATGTTTATATACATCTACAAATGAAGGCCATAAAAATAAAACACCTCCAAAAAATCTCATTGCTATAGAGTGTATATTACGATTTTAAGAAAGCCTACTAAATATTAAAATCGGTTGAATCATATACTGGGTGGGATAAAAACTTGCAACAAAGTCAAACGCCATAATTTTTACATTTTTTTAAATTTTATTGAATAAAAGCAAAAAATGTCGGAAATAGCATCAAATCTTAGGATAAGTTTAGATTTGTTCGAATTGGTCACCTTTGGTACGAACTATGGCCTTCAAACGGCCAATGAAACCGTCACACGCTGCCCGAATGTTGCTCTGCCGTATTTTGGCCCATTCCCGGCGAAGCGCTTGCTTGAGATGATCAACACTTTGGTATTTTTTACTGCCAACCTTGCTTTCCAAAATACTCCAGACACAATACTCCAACGGATTGGTATCTGGAGATTTTAGTGGCCATTGTGCGAGGAACCCCATTTTGTAACCATTCTTGGGTGTCGCTTGCTGAGTGTGATGGTGCTGAGTCTCTGTTGGAATGTCCAAAGCCTGCGGCCAAAATGTTTTGCGTGTCCAAGGCTTTGATACACCCTCCAGAATATTTTCGCGATAATATTCGGCATTTGTTCTGACGCCACGCCGACTAATACGAGCGGAGAGCGAACATCGGCTGTTATGGCGGCTCACGCCATCACCATGGTCAGTGCTTGAGTTCTGGTGGCCAGCCGAAGGTGCACATTTTCAGCTGACACGATCATTTTGTTTGTTTACAAACTGCTGGACAACGAATGTTTTCTCATCGGAAAAAACCATATTCGGCAGTTCACCACTTTCGACCAAGCGATGCAACTCGTTAGCTCTTTTGAGTCTATTTTCTTTCTGTTGCGGTGTAAGTTCTTGCACTTTTTGGAATTTCAGTGGCTTAACCCCGAGCTCATTTTTCAATATTTGCCGAATGGAATATTGCGATATGTTCAGCTCACGAGCCATTTTTCGGCCACGGCGACGCGGGTTTCGATCAAGTCGCTTCTTTACTTTTCAAACTATATCTGCTGATGTAGCTGTTTTCTTCCGTCCACTTCCTTGACGTCGGGCTACGTACAAGTAGCACGGTAACGAGCGATGGTACGAGACACAAAAGATTTATTCACATTTAAATAGCCACCTGTGGTTTTCAAGCCAAATATATATAGAAATCACACTATCGCGCTTGAATTCCATCACGAATAACTTTTTTTCTGGAAGATTCTCTCCAAATTGCTTTTGTAGAATTGTAAACAATATAATGAGCTGTCACTGGAATAATTATAACAGCTGTAGCTGAAGTTGGTTGCAGTTTTTTTCATCTCACCCTGTATGTGCAATATAATATATGTTTGTTATATTGCATTGTACAGTATATATTTCAAAAAGTATAGCGTTTCGTTTAAGTTTAAAATTTGTTGGGCGCGCCTAAAAGTCTACTTCAAAATTGGTAATCTAACAAATGTTAAAAAATCACTTTACATGTGACTCTAACACGATGTGGAATCTAGCCTTAAGTAGCTATACATGTAGACTTTTAATTTAAAGGATTTCAAATCTCAACAGCGTAAAATCTATTCATTGTAAAATTGTTGTCTATCGAAGTTTCCTGACCGGCCTTTAATCAAAATCAATGAAAAGTCGATTTTTATATAAATATATAATAATATCGTAATAATTACTTCATAATTTCTACCTTCTTACACGAAATTTTAAATATCAATGACACACCACCCTATTGTATGGAAACAATATTCAATGCCATTTTTTATTTATTTCTCCCTCTATATTTTGAGCCTATTGGTTATGGGGCTAGATCTTAAATCATAGACATTTGTGTTTCTTAAATAAATAATACCACCCATCATATCTGTACTCACATCTATATCCCTGTGGCATTGTCGTCTATTCTCTCTAGAGATCTCTCTCTCTCTCTCTCTGGTTTATATTGGCAATGCTGCAGCTATTATTGGTACTTGGTGTGGATCGGATCTCGGTCTCATTTTGGTGTGTCCCTGCCGTTGGTTTGGCACTATGTGACACTGAAATGATGACGCATATGCTCCATATTTTATCATTCATCTGTTGGTTTTTTGTCATCTACGTCGTAGTCGTTGCTGTATTGTGTGATGGCAATGTCTTACATTTACATAGTTTTTTATTCGTTTTTTCGTCATCATCATCGTCATCGTTATTATCATAATCATCATCAGTATTATTGTGTGTGTGTGTGTGTTGTGTGGTATATTGAGGTTTTAGTTTGTATTTCCTGGTTTTGTGGTAAGATTCATCACCCGGTACCTGGTTGTGGAACATTCGCATTTTGTCATATAATTTGTGTTTTTGCCGTTGTAACTTTTTATGTTGGGCCTCTAATTTTTTTCTTGATTCATGTCCCTAGAAATAAAGTGAAAAAAAAACTATTTCATTCATTTATTTGTCTGAAATGTGGTTGGTGTTTGGCTTCTTTGGCAAGGTTTCTTCTGTCAAGATATTCCTCTGGCAATTGTCGGTTATTATAGTTTTTTGTTTTATCTGTAATCTTTTTTGTGTGTTGGATTTTTATTTTTGTAATAATGGGTCATTATGTTTGTATTTGTATTTTTTTGATATTGCATGATATAATTTATTAACATAATTTTCTTTTGATTTATTTGTTGTTTTTTATATTTCGTTTGATGTATTATATTTTTTTTTAACTGATACATTGATCTACTAACCCAGCTTGACAGGAAATCATTCCCAGAAAGAAAAAAAAAACGAAAACAAAAACTATCAATTAAATATTTTCAATTTTTAAAATAAAATGAAGTAATTCAAAAATAAATAAAGTAGAGATGGTCATTTGCATTTCTTTTTCCAAGAGGTTAAATATTCCTTTTTAATAATAAATAATAATTAATAATATTAATTTATAATAAATAATAATAAAGTAAGGAAATCAGATTATACATTTGTTCGAATAGTTTGTTTACGAAATGTTTTTTATATACGAAATGGAAAGGTTAAACCTACGGTTGACAAATAATTTCGTCTGTTTTTTTTTTTTCATCTGTTTCAAATAACTCATTCTCGGCAAACAATTGATAGACCGATTACAAAGTAATTAGTAAAGGTGGCACAGAGTATCTATTTCGAACTACAAAACCGACCAAAAACACTAATTGCTAAATAATAAGGCTCTTTAACATTATTTTTCCGCTTCTCTCAAAATTTAAACTAAAAAACATTTAGTGTTGTGGAATAAATTCATTTATAATAGAAATATAGTATATCTCATGTTAGCATGAAAATTGCTTGGATGCGCTTAAAAATATGCTATAAAACGCCGTAGTTGCCTCAAGCGGTTTAGGTGAATTTCAGTTCAGTTTTGCCACACGATGCATTCAAGCCCATTCAACTTATTTTGTACGTTTCCAATTCTTAGTTGAAAAAAATTTTGGTACCACAAAAAAAAAAAAATAACAACAGGAAATAACCCCCAAATTTTGAAAGATAAAAATAGAAGACGTCTTAAACTTTACATCGGGAAAATTCTCCACTCTTCCATATTCTTTGAAGTTTTCGGAATAGAAATCCTTGATATCTGTGAATTTTAGGTATACAGTGTCTTCGGCAATATTACTGAAATCAATTACTTTGGTCGAACATTTTAACCCTTAAGCGGGACAGCAAAGTGTTTTTTTGGCATTTTTTAAATATGCCTAAAAACTGTTTTTAAATGGAATCGTAGCAAGTCAAAATATTCTACAAAATTTTGTATCATAAAATTCTACTAATAATCCCAGAAGACACCAAAACTCTAAACCTCACCAAATCGAGAAGGGAAAATGTTATTAAAAAAAAGAAAACCTTAAAAGGTGTTAGTCGTTTGGGCCGACAAACGCATACCCTCAGTCAATGTTCGATTAATTAAATAGGTTGCTAGAATAGGATGCTTATTTCTCTTTTTGAGAGCGTTTTGTTTTTCAAAATCCGAAACCCTATGTGTGGGAGAACAAATGGTTCGATCTCTACCATCCTTGTAACAGATCTTGTGTTGATGGAAATTTTGAGATGTACCAAGTCTGATGAAATCAGATGTATCCCATATATATCCAATCTTCACACCAGATCTTTGGTTATTAAAAATACTGTGATGGGTGTAATTTGAAGAGAGTCGGATGCTTATTTGGGGTTTTTCGTATTTCTTATTCAAAACATTCAAAACATTTGTGGGGAGGAAATGGTCCGATGTCCATCATCTTTAAAAAAGATCTTGTATTGAAGAAGTGGACCGATATATTCCATCTTCACACCAGATCTTGCGTTAGCAAAAATATTGTTATGTGTGTAATTAAAGGAGAACCAGATGCCTATTTCGGATTTTTTCGGATCATTTTTGTTATTCAAGACTTTGACCCTTTGTGGGGGAGGTACCAAAAGCAATGGTCCGATCTATACCATCCTTATAACATATCTTGTGTTGATGGAAATATTAAGATGTGTCAAGTCTGTATGGAATCATTATCCTTCCCCCTTTTTGTGCAGTAAATTATTTTCTTGAAAATGTTGACATTTTGTGGGGGAGGTACCAGAAGTAGTGGACAGATATCGCCCATCTCCGAACTCGATCTAAGTTTGACAATAATATTACGATGTACTAAGTTTGAAACAAATCGGGTACTCCTTTCGAGAGTTATAGACAGGCGGATGGAAGGACGGACATCGCTACATCGACTCCAAATGTCCTGAAACGGATTTGGTGATAGAGAGACATAGGGTCTAAAACCGTTATTTTGATGAGACACGCTTTGGTCGTATCAAGTGATATATACCCTCTCTAGCCATATGACTGAGGGTATAATAATATGGAAGAGAGCAAATCTTAACCTCTCTATTTAGGCATAGCGATTTTTAATGGTGAATTTTCAGTTGCACTCATACACTCTCAATTTAGTTATGCATATCCCTGATTTAGGCTACTTTCCGTTTCATAATCTGCTGGATTTTCCTGTTATTATTGAAAAAAATCGAATTTTGTAACACAGTGTAATTGAGGGCAATTTTACCAAAAAAAAAATGGACATCGTCCTGACCAATTTTAATTTCAAAATCATCTTTAGATTTTTTTTTAAACCTTTATTGGTTTCTATTTGCTTGAGTATAGAAAAGAAAACTTCACTTGAAATTAATTTTGCATAAACTTAACTTTCAAATTTGAAACGGTATAAAAATCCCAAACCCATGTAATTAATTTAAATTGATAAAAAATACAACAATTGTGCGATTTTCGTTTTTTTTTTTTCGCTGTTAAGAGTGAAAAAAAAATCCCAATTTAATTTGATTTTCTCGCAAAGTCATAAAACGAAAAGAGAAAAATACCATAGATATTTGATTTGAAAATTAAATTTAAACACTCTTCACCATTAAATTAATTGGCAATTATCAATTTTAATAAAAATTCATTCATAATGATATTTGTTTTTAAAGTTAATGGTTTGGGGAATTGAAATTCACAATCAACTGGAGAAATATTCACAAATGTTTAAATGATTGTTTTTTGTCTTTTGTGAATAACGATTGCCATCTCAAGATATGGCAAATGTCGAGATTTCAACGAAAGAAAGGAAAAAAGAAAATATCATCAAATTGCACGAATGTCTGGCTGGCCGTTAAAGACTAGGCTTTGGTCACTCATTTGTCTGTTGGTTTTCTTATTTCATTATTTTCGTTTGCAATGAAATGTAATTAATCATAGGCGAATGCCAAGAGTGATGGCCGCTTGGAAGATGCCGCACAAGACAAAGAAGTAGGCTTAGAAGATGTTTTTGCGTTTTTTTTTTCTTCTGTGATTTTCCAATGTCAAATTCTCATGGTCATGCTGCTGCTTCTTTTTTATGGATTTTCATGGCACATAGTCTTGAAGGAAAACGCTTTTACTGATTAGTTGTTATAAACTTTTTTTTAACAATTTGTAGTTTCTGTATAAAATCATGTTTGTTGTTGGAGATACATCTTTCAGATGCGATTTTCCATGATGTTTGTCATAATTGTTCATTTAAAAGGTCACTAACTCTACTTTAGATTTAAGGCTTATTTTACTAATTAATAATTTAATTCTTTAATTGAATTTATTATAAGTTCCATAAAAATGTATAAAAAATCATATTCATCTACTCGTCTATTTCGCTTCCTCTAAACCCACAGCTTCTCATATACCTCCCGATTTACTATTGGTTTAAACTAATTTCTTTTTTTTCTATATATATTAAATTTCAAATATTTTCATTGGATCGTCGCTGTTTGCTGCCTATGAACAACAGCTTCAGAAATCGGCTGAGGTCTCTTCGGACGACGAAGGTTGGCTATACACCGCCTCAACGCAACAACACCAGCCGAGATCAGTTGACGTTGTGGATATTGAAAGTTTAAATTCCGATCATATTTCGCGTGGTATTTCAGCGGTATCCTCTGAGCTGTATAGCTACGATCATTTGGCCATTACAAGCGCCCATCCTTCTCCTCAGCCTCCTGGTAGCATACAATCCAGTACCGTATCATCTTCAACGTCCACGGCTGTTGTGGCGGCCACAGTAGCCGCCTCATTGGGTTGCGCCATATATGGTGACGCTGATTCCGATAAAGAAAACAAAGAAGCTGTAGCAACAACAACAACAGCAACTACCTTACATTTACAATCAGCGACAGCTACGACAACAGTTCAAGATACGGACGTGATTGTCAACGCCACAGCCGAACCTAATAACTCCACTGTCAAGGAGTCTTCAAGCAGTTCTTCTGCCAGTTCCAGTTCCATTACCAGTAGTTCTTGTTCATCGAATGATATGTTGACGGAAGCTACCACTACCACCACAACTGGAGTCTCAATCAAAACAAGTGCCACAAAAATTCGTCCCAAGTATCATCAACGCCAAGAAATGGAATTACAAATCAATAACAATAATAATCATGGCAATGGCAGTGGCCATCACCAATACAACAACAACAAAAGCGCCAAATCGCCAACATCAACAATGCAACATACTATCAGCAGCAGCAACAACAACAATTGTGTCAGCACAAATTCTCGCCACAAAGCGAACATCAACACCACCATTGGCTTAGTACCAACCACAGCATCATCCTCATCCCCAACGACACAGCCGCATAACAGAAATTCTTCATTTTCCGATGATGCTGTCAATGGAAATCTGGAAAAGGTAAGTAAAAAGAAAAAACAAAAAAAGAAAATAATCAAACGAAGCCACAAACCAACCAATCATTAACCAAAGCAATCAAAGAAATAACCAACCATCCAACCAAATGAAATTGCTGTTGTGCCGACCAACGCTTAGGTGAGAAATGGCTGGCTACGGCAATGGCCTTTGATTGCCTCGTTCGGTTGTTGGTAGTGTGGCATTTTTCAAATAACTTAATCCAAATACCTTGGGAGACCGCATTTCAGTTAACGGTGTCATTGCTTCTTTTACTTGACTTTGAAACATCTCCCGTCTTGAAATCAATGAGTTATTGGTTTGTGTTTCTTTTTTTGTTTTTTCTTAAAGAGAATATGGGAAATACCTAACCGACAGTTTATATCAATCAAGAAGAGGTTCCACACACAGGAATTTAACCCAAATTGTGGAGAAATTTTGTTGAGTCTAAAGAAAAGTGCTAGGTTTGGCCTCACTAGGCAAGAACCCCCCATTGTCATTCCAATGAAAAAATTACACCCTAACTGTGCCATTGCAAATAGAGTGTTCAGATAATGTGTCCTGATATTGTCCTTTTTGTGAGACAATAACGAGTAGATCAGATTGTTAGAGAACCATAAAATCTTTACATCGCTTGTAAATTTTTACATAATTTTAAAGTTCAGCAGTGAGAGACCCTCTTGCCAAATCAACGGCAAATGAAACTCGAGAGAGAATACGTGTGTTTTGTCTATACTTTTTCGTTCGAGGCGGCACATAGCTGTATTAAACCCTACTTCTCTTTGGGCCAAATCCGTTTCAGGACATTTGGAGTCGATCTAGCCATGTCCGTCCATCCGTCTATCTGGCTGGCTGGTGCGCACGATAACTCTCGATGGGAATATCCGATTTGATCCAAATAATATTATTGTCAAATTTAGATCGAGGTCGAAGATGGGCAATATCGGTCCACTACTTCTGGTACCTCCCCCAAAACAGGTCTAAATTTTCAAAAAAAAATATTTTTCATGCACAGACAGAGAAAGGACAATCCGATTTTGCTCCAACTTTACAAAAATGGACAATGTAAGTCCGCCCCATCAAGTACCTCCCCCACAAAGAGTCAACATTTTGAATAATTGCAACTCTTACAAAATGTGATCTAACAGTCAGATTATCTTCAAGTTACACACATAAAAATATTTTTATTAACCCAAGGTCTGGTGTGAAGATGGAATATGACGGTGCACTCCTATTGGTACCTCTACCACAAAGGGTCAAAATTTTTAATACCCATGAAGCTCATAAATCGCAAAATTATCATCCGATTCCACTTAGACTTGGTACATCTCAATATTTCCATCCATACCAGATCTTTTATAAAAATGGTAGATCTCGGACTATTCCTTCTGGTACCTCCCCCACAACGGGTCAAAATTTTGAATAACCAAAACTATTATAAAATCCGAAATAAGCATCCGGCTCCCTTCATATTTCACACATCGCAATATTTTTATTGACCCAAGATCTGGTGTGAACATGGAATATATCGGTCCACTCCTTCTGGTATCTAACCCACAAAGGGTCAAAATTTTGAATATTCGTGAAACTCATAAATCGCTAAATTAATATCCGATTTCATTCAGACTTGGTACATCTCAATATTTCCATCAACAAAAGATATATTATAAATATGATAGAGATCGGACCATTTCATCTGGTACTTCCCCCACAAAGGGTCAAAATATTGAATAACCAAAACGATCATAAAACCCGAAATAAGCATCCGGCTGCCTTCATATTTCACACATCACAATATTCCTATTAACCCAAGGTCTACTGTGAAGATCGGTTATATCGGCCCTCTCCTTCTGGTACCTCCCCCACAAATGGTCAAAAATTGTAATATCCATGAATCTCATAAAACACGAAATTAAATTCCGATTCCATTCAGACTTAGTACATCTCAATATTTCCATCAACAAAAGATATGTTATAAAGATGGTATAGATCGGTGCATTTCTTCTGGTACCTCTCCCATATAGAGTTCACGATTTTGAAAAACAAAACGCTCAAAAAAGCGAAATAAGAATTCAACTCTTTTCAAATTTCACATACCCAAATATGTAACGTGAGATATGTTGTGAAGATGATATCTATCCGAAACCCCTCCTGGTACCTCATCCACAAAGGTTCATAATTTTCAGTACATTTAACTGTTATAACTTGCGAAACAAGTCATCGATTCTAAATATTTCACTCAACCAGAAACCTGAGATGAATATAGAATTTATTTATGATTTCGTATAAAATTGGATATAAATGTTCGACATTTTAAAATCTTCTAAAATTGTTCACATATCTCATATGAAGTGAAGGAAGAAGTTGTTGTAGTCCAAACCTGGCGTGTCGAAATATGTATATCATATTTGTTTAGGTCCGATACGAAATGGACACTATTGGTCCATTCCCTTACAACCTACCCCTTAAAGGGTCAACAATTTGAATAATCATAACAGAAGTCAAAATATATTAAAATAATCGAATTTTGGCTAAGGGTATACATCTATCGACAAATCTGACTAATACTTTTTAACTTGTTTTTATTATTTCTGAACATAAAGCTCATGACCAATGAGACTCCTCTAAAATACCCTCTAATAAAGTGCGTGTGAATTTTAATTAAAGTCACAAATTTCTTTCAATATGAGCTTTCCAAGGTCTTGGTGAAAAATCATTATTAAAATATGCTACCATAAATCATCACCGATGTGAAGTGAAGTGTAACGAACGTCGTTGCCTAACTAAACCTGATCCATATTAATGGCTAATGGATGAATGGATGGTGGTGGTAAACGTTCACAAATTAACAAATGATTTCCTTTGCCATATGCAACTGCAACTGCAATCACAACTGCAACTGCATGATGCCGGGCGAAAGAAAAGAAAAGCGACTAAAATCATTGATCATGATTTAAGTTTTCAGATAGTCATATTAAAAGAAAAATAATAAGCGGAAATCATGTAAAGTTTTGTCGAAGAAATTGCGATGAAAACATAAGGCAGAGGAGGCCGGTATGGCGGGTAGATAGCTTCCAGTGAACATTGTTATAGTTTTGCAGAGTAAATTGTCTGTTTGGGGTTTTCTTTGCCATTTTGTGAAATTGAAATAGAGTTTTTGAAAGTATTCAAATACAAATTGCCTTTGCGACCTCCCAAGAACTGGTTTATCGAAAAGAGAAAAGTCTATAATTTTTAAGTTTCAACCTTTAATCCAATTTTTGTTTTCTTTTTCTATTCATTTTTTTATCAAAGGAAAATATACGCTTTTATACACGTGCAGAAATTTCCAATATCAATGTCAAAGCCAATGACAATCACCAGTACCACCACCAGCATAACCAAGGCCAGTTCAATTCACCCACAACTGCATCGGCCCAGCAGCAGCTACTCTATGGCCAACAATTGCATGGCGTAAATGTTGGCAAACGTTTGCCGCCCCGTTCGCCGGCAAAATCAAGCATTTCGCAAACATCGACTAATACAAGCACCTCCACCATTTCACCCACCAAGGTAAGTACAAAAATAAAAAAACAACAATTAAAGAGTATTTAAAAACAATGAATGGAAACTTTTCGAGAGGTTTCAAAACATTATTCGGAGTAGGTAAAGGTGTTTATTATGAAAGAAAGTTTTAACGAAAAATAATTTGGAAAACCTGAAGATCACTTCGAAAAATTCTTGAGTGTCTGTTCCGATTTGAGTACTAGGTAAAACTTGACGTTCAGCCAGTATTTCATGTTATATATTCGATCAGTATCTGGGCAAAAATATATTTTGCATATAAAAACAACAATAATGGGATTAAGTCTGACTATTTTGCAACACTGTTCTATTTTCCAATTTCTGGAATTTTGTTCTACTCCCAGGAGTGCTCACACTCGAGTTCGACCGAGATTCACTGTCTTTGCTATTTGGTTCAGTCATTCACTTTTTCAGCTAAGGTTATTTGGTTAAGGGCCGGTTGACACATCATTTTAGATTCATACGTGAAGTGACTTTTTCATATTTTATATTTAGTATTTTATAGCATATTTTTAGGGTCTCACAACAATTTTCAAACTAAATAGACACATTTAATTTATTTGAACTATACATATGCCCGAAATATAATTGTTTTTGCTATACTATAAAGCGTTTCATTTTAGTTTAAAAATTTTGGGAAGCGCCTTAAAGTATGCTACGAAAATGGGAGATATTTCAATGGAACAAAAACATTCTTGAACTGCAAAACACTTAATAATTAAGTATCCCCATAAATTTCATCGGTTTCTTGGATTTTTATTAAGCCCGCTTAATTTTTGTTTCCTTTGACTCCACCACATAGTGGTAAGGGTGTTATGCCTTTGTGCATTTGTTTGTAACATGGAGAAGGAAGCGAGATATACCCACTTTCTGATCCGATTTATGCATGTCAGTCCGTCTGTCCGTCCGTTTGTCCATGTATTTTTGTGAACAAAATGCAGGTCGCATTTATTATCCCTCGAGATGAAATTTTCCAAACAATATTTTATTGGCCCAAGGACGAATCCTACTGAAATTGTTAAGAATCGGTTAAAAATTTAGATATAGCTCCCATATATATCTTCAACCGATTTCGGGTTAATTGTACACCAAATGGCCAATATCAGTCCAAATGCCCTGAATTGTGGCACATCTAACCGAATTCAGTCTAGAAGCAAATTTAGTGAAAATCGGTTCAGATATAGCTATAACTCCCATATATATATATATACCAGATATCAAATACAACCCAGAAATACCTCTGCTAAATTTTATCAAGATCGGTTCAGATCTCCCATATATACTTTCAACCGATTTCAGGTTAATTGTGCACCAAATGGCCAATATCAGTCCAAATGACCTGAATTTTGGCACATCCGACCGAATTCAGTGTAGAAGCAAGTATATCAAATTTGAATGATATTTGGTACCAGATATCTTATAAAGCTCGGAGATACCTTTGCCAAATTTTATCGAGATCGGTTCAGATTTGGTTATAGCTCCTATATATATATCCTTGATCCGATACGGAAGCTCTACTGAATAGGTATCATATAGTCGGACCCCCAACTTTTGACTTTTTTGAATTTACCAATATACAAAACACACACCACCTTCGTTTGAGTCCCATTTGTGGTTTAGTGTTAATTTATTGAAATATTGCAATTTTCCAACTGACTTTACCTTCTTTATTTACCATGGTTGATGCCTAGAAAAATTATTTCCGCAAATTGAATTACAATATGCGTCCCTTATTTTGGTATTCAATATTCTTCAAGTTGAAAACTTAATATTCCAAAGGCAAATGAACCCCACAATTACCGCAGAGCATTTTCAAAAACAAAACTTTCAATACTTTTACAACGAACTAAATCCTGCAATCAAGCGTAATATCTACGCACGTAATACAGACAAATAACCTGACATTGTCATAGATTAGTGGGCGTAAAAAGTCATCAAATCATAAATAGATTATAAAAATTCAACTCACGCGACATTTGAGCTAGAGGGAACTCTCCTGCTAGCCAAAGAAAAACTAAAAAAGAAAAAAAAAAAAAAAAAACACGCGAAAAGTTACAACCCAAAACAAGCCTACAAAAAGTCATAAATTCACCTTGGCAGTGACATATGTATGTTTGTCTGTCGACCCATCCGTCCGTCTCTCGTGGACGTGAAGAAAGAAAACCTAAACGGAATGGCGTTTTAGGCTGCAATGCCATTCAAAATTCGCCATGCGTTCAGTGCATTGCGTCGCCAATATTTAAGGTAACAAGTGTCAGAGCAACATAAACGCAACTTGTCAGTTAGTTCATAACTTCGCAACGTATGACGGCATATCATAGCAAAGAAAATTTCATAAAAACAACAACAAAAAATAAAACACTCTTTGGTATGCATAACTTATAATTGTTGTTGCTATTGTTTTTGTTGACCAGTTTGAAATTGGCAGTTGCTTGTCCCTGAGCCACGCTGCAAACAGTGTTGCATGCGTGTTGTATTACACCAGAAATTACATGATTTGTTGTTGTAATCTATTTCTACTGTGCTTTGATTTTGTTTTTTTTTTTTCGGCCACCATCATCCAAAGTGGCAATTACCCACACGAATTTGATGTTTTGTTTTTTTTCCTCTTGGCTTCATTGGCTTGGCAATTATTTTAAATTCCATTGGGGAAGTATGGTTTGTGCACGCCTGCGTGTGGCTGATGATGAAAACGAGATATCCCACCACTGCGTTACATGATTTCCCATGTTGACTGGCCAAAAATCTGTGCGCCAAAAACAAAAAAAAAAATTGGAAAATCTATTGAAAATGAAAAATATGCGTAGAGGCGGCGGTACATTTGTCTAAACTTCAAATCATGCCGAGATCGTTTGTTAGGCACGAAATGCTCAAATGTTTGTCAAAAGACAATAAAAATGAATGAATATACAAACAGCTAGTGGCATTAAATTATGTTTGTAGGAGAGCGAGCGGTGATCGGCTTTAATGGTTTAGAGATTGCAAATCAGCATATGAAAATAGATAACAAATTCGATTCCCCCTTTCTTAGATTTGTAAAGAAAATTAAGGATATTGGAAAAAAAAAAGGCTCTGGATATACAAATTTTAAATTTTTTAAATTCGCTCGGAGCACGATAACAGACAACCCAAAGGAAATTTGTGTGGCGTAAAAATGGATAATATCAGTCCATTGTTTCTGGTAACTCCCCCACAAAGGTTAGGTTTTAGGTAATCGTAACCTTAATAAAATGCAAAATTATTTCCGATTTCTTCAAAAATTTCTATATATACAGGGCGAGATAAAAAAAAACTCCAACAAAGTCAAACGCCATAATTTTTTACATTTTTTTACATTTTATTGAATGAAAGCAAAAAATTTCGGAAGTAGCATCAAATATTACAATAATTCTAGATTTCTTCGAATTGGTCACCTTTCGCACGAATTATGACCTTCAAACGGCCAATGAAACCGTAACACGCTGCCCGAATTGCTCTGTGGTATTTTGGCCCATTCCCGGCGAGGCGCTTGCTTGAGGTGATCGACACTTTGGTATTTTTTAGTGCCAACCTTGCTTTCAAAAATACTCCAGACACAATAGTTCAACGGATTGGTATCCGGAGATTTTGGTGGCCATTGCGCGCTGGAAATGAAGCGAGGAACCTGTTTTTTGAAACCATTCTTGGCGGCCAAAATGTTTGTGTGCCCAAGGCTTTAATACACCCTCCAGAATATTATAATATTCGGCTATATTCCACGGTCGATTAATACGAGCGGAGAGCGACCATCGGCTGTTATGGCGGCCCACACCATCACCGTGCCCGTCGCTTGAGTTCTGGTGGCCAACCGAAGGTGCACATTTCCAGCTGACCTCTTCTTTTTGTTTGTTTACAAACTGCTGGACAACAAATGCTTTCTCTCGGAGAAACTAAATTCGGCAGTTCACCAGTTCACCACTTTCGGTCAAGCGAAGCAACTATTTAGGTCTTTTGAATCTATTTTCCTTCTGTTGAGGTGTATCTTCTTGCACTTTTTGGAATTTCATTGGCTTTACCCTGAGCTAATTTTTTCAATATTTGCCGAATGGAATATTGCGATATTTTCAGCTCATGAGCCATTTTTTTGGCAACTGCGACGTGGATTTCGATCAAGTCGCTCCTTTACTTTTCGAACCATTTCTGCTGATGTTGCTGTTTTCTTCCGTCCATTTCCTTGACGTCGGGCTACGCTAACGAGAGATGGTACGAGACACAAAAAAATTTATTCACATTTAAATGCTGGAGTGGTCTAACCATAGCCGCTTGTGGTTGGTTTCTGAAAAATTCTCACAAAAATGATTTTGTACCCTTGTAAACAATATAAAGAGCTGTCACTGAAATAATTTTAACAGCTGTTGGACGAGTTGCTCAGAAATGACAGCAGTCTGAAGTTGGTTGCAGTTTTTTCATCTCACCCTGTACTATATATAAATACCGTAAAATACTATATAATATATAGTTACTATATTTATGTAACACTTATACTATGAATTTATTAATATTTATTTAATATATTCCCCTCAAGCAAAAATAATTGTAAAACGCCTCAAAGTATGCTATAAAAATGCCTAACTTAAATGTAGGAATAGTAACTTTACATATGATTCGAACATGTAATGTTGGCTTAGATAAATGTTCAAAAATAGCACAATGTTGGCACGTTTGTTCAGGATACCATAGTATTTTGTTATCGCAAATAGTCAGGTTTAATCCCATTATTGTTGCATTGTTTGTCTATTAGTGGTGAGAGATGGTAATGTTTACCAAGAGGTAAAGCAAGGAATACTTTGGCTTCGGAAAGAGCCATCAATCCTCATCAGTTCCCTTGGAATACATTCTATGCTCTTCTTTACTAATTTTTTGAAATATGCCGAATGACTACGATACGCACAATTGTAAATTTCTGAGAACATTTTTGAGGGTCCATCAGATCCACAAACATCCCCTAAACTTGACCACAGTCTAGTTGA